TAGTCGTGGGAGACGAGTTCCAGGGTTTTCCACCGCCCCGGGTGCCCCGTCACCTGCGTGTCATGGTGCAATCGCACCAAGTCATGGCGGAGTTGCAGGTCTTTCGGCACATATACCTTTCCTCTGTACAGAACCAGCTCTCCTTGCTGCTCCCACTCATCTGACCTCAGCGTGCCTTCCCCAAGTTCTCGCATCGCCTTCACCACCTTCTCATCTAGGTCCTTTGCCCTGCTGATCCTCTCAAGGATAGTCATCTCTTCGCCTTCCACTAAGACCGCCTCCACAGTGTGGGCCTCGAACCAGGCAGGTTGGAGGAGAGTCAGCCCTTCATTGTTGTCTTTACCCTTTGGGTGGTCAGCGCAGCATGAGAGCGCATCGGGTTTTCCCATGAGTTTCCCAGGGTGGTGGATGAGGGTGAAGTGGAACTGGGAGAGGAAGAGTGACCACCACGCTTGGCACCGGTTCAGCCGTTGCGCGGTGCGGAAATATCCTAGGTTGCAGTGGTCAGTGTAGACATCCACTTTCTCCTCTGCTCCTTGTAGGAAGTGCCGCCATTCCTCGAGGGCGCGCACTATTGCAAGCATCTCCTTGTCATACACCTCATAGTTGCGCTCTACATCCGTGAAACTCTTGGACATGAAGGCTATGGGGTGGAACTCCCCATCTGTTTGGAGCTGGGATAGGACCGCACCAGTTGCAAAGTTAGAGGCGTCGCACTTGAGCTTGAAGCAGCCTGTATCAGCGGGGAAGGCAAGGACTGGGGTGGAGGTGACAGCGTCTTTAAGTGCACAGAAAGCACGGTCCTCATCTGGTCCCCAGACCCATGCTTTGGTTTTGTGGGTCAGCGCATGGAGGGGGCGGGCTGTCTCGGAGAAGTCCTTGATAAACCAGCGATAGAAGTTGACGAATCCTAGGAAGGATTGTACTTCTTTGACCTTGGTCAGGGTTGGCCAGTCGAGAACTCCACGGACTTTCATGGGATCCATCGTGACGTTTCCCTCGGAGATGATAAGCTGAGATACTCGATCCGCTTCTGCTCGAACTTACACTTCTCCGGCTTTAAGAAGAGTCTCCGCTTCCGCAGCGTCTCTAGGACCTCTCGGATGACCCTCCGGTGCTCCTCTAGGGTGGCTGTGAAGATCAAGATGTTGTCCATGTAGCAGATGATGACCTCTCAATCGATGAAGTCTCGGAGAATGTCGTTCATCATTGTCTGGAATGTTGCTGGGGAGTTACACAGGCTGAAGAACATGATGGTAGGCTTGAACAATCCCCTGTTGGTCGAAAACGCTGCTTTCCACTCATCGCTGTCCTTGATGCAGACATTGTTAAATCCCCAGCGCAGATCTAGCGCTGAGAAGTATTTGGTGTTTCGGAGGCGCATGAGGACGTCCGAAATGAGCGGGAGGGGATATGAGTTTTTGACTGTGATCTTGTTGAGCTTTCGGTAATCTTGGACTAGGCGCAACAATCCATCCTTCTTGACAAAGAAGACCAGCGCTCCCATCAAGGATTTGGACGCCTGTATGCACCTGTTCTGCAGGTTCTCGTGCAGGAACTCGTCTAGTTCCTTCTGCTCTGGCCGTGACAGGGGGAAGGTCCTCCCTCTTGGGAGCTTGGCATCTGGCACTAGGTCTATTGCATGGTCCCAGGGCTTCCATGGAGGTAGCTGGTCGAAGGCCTCTTTCAAGAATACGTCTCTGAAGTCCTGGTACTGTTCTGGGGCTAGCACTTCAAACGGTGCCGGCTCCACCTCTGGCTCGCAGGCCTCCTGGGCCATCCGCTGGGATGGCGTCGTGGTTGCTCTTAGTTCGTGTCCCCACCCCAGAGGAATGATAGCGGTGTAAATCCCATCCCCAGGTTCCACCACAGGGTCTGGGTCAGCCTGTCCTCGCACCGACTGGCAGGAGGATGGGCAGTGGGACATACTGACCTTTTGCTGCATCCAATCTACCTCTGGGTTGTGGTGCAGCAACCACGAGTGTCCTATGATGTGTCAGGGACACGTCCGGGGTGGAGGGGGCCCGGATGTGGCGCCTGGCAGAAAGACCCTCTTGGGGAACGAAGCGGGCACGCGTACTGACGGGCCCAATCTGGGACTGTAGTCCCTGGCCACTTAGACTGAAGTGGAAAACGTGAATTGTTATTAAAAGGAAGAACTACACTACTTACCTGAAGTGGAAAACGTGAGAAGAAGGTTACTTCTTCAGTTCCCACTTCAGGTACATCTATGTACATGCGGCTTGGGTCACATGACGGGTGCCACGTCATCTACGGAGAGAGCTGCAGCCATCCAGGTATCCCCGTGGGGGATCCCAAGGGCATCCGCTGCAGGTGTGTGTGCTAGGCATAGCCGGAAGTCATCTGGGGTGTCCGAGCCGGACGGGTCAACAGTACAATGATACAAGGGAAGGTGGTCCATGTAAATAGAAAGAATAAACAGAAAAGGAGAATGAAATAAAGGAGAAAGAGAAAAGAGGGAAAAGGGAGGAAAGGGAGGAAGGGGAAGAGGGAGGAAGGAGGAAGGAGGAAGGAGGAAGGATGGGTAGCAGGGAGCGGGTGAGGTGGGCCTGGGTGGGCCCGGGTGGAACCGGGTCAGGCGGGTGTGCCCTGACATCACCCCCTCCTTAAGCCGCTTCGCCTCGAAGTGGCCAGATGGTTCTCTCTTTCTCTCCCTGGGGCTTGGGGGTGCATCCTGTGGAATTCCTCGATCCGGTCGGGGGCATGGGCTAAGTGGTCCTGTTGGAGCCATTGGTTCTCTGAGCTTGGCCAACCAATGAACTTTACCAGATACCAGAGTTTCCGGTGTAGCCACTTAGAGTCCAATACCTTCTTGACCTCATACTCTTCTTCTCCGTCTACAAGTTCCGGACCTGGGCGGGGGTCAGTGGGTCGTTCTGGGATATCATCCGGGCGGTGTGGTCTGACATTCGTTACGGATACAACCGGGTGGATTCCCTTCTGGCATGTGGTAAGTTGGAGTTTGATGGCAGCAGGGGAGACGACTTTGACGATCTTGAAGGGGCCGAGCCATTTGTGGTCCAACTTTTTGGTTGGGCGGTCAGTCGTGTAGTTTTGTGTGCTGAGCCAGACTCGGTCGCCTTCTTGGTACTTTGGGGCTGTTTTGTGGTCTCGGTCATAGTAACGGGCCATCTTGTCCGCTGCATGTTCCAGTGCGGCCTTCGCCTCCTCTTGCATTTTCATCATCCTCAATGAGAACGTGTCAGCAGCTTCCACCTCAGATGTGTGTGTGGGCTCTGTCCCCATCCTGGGGTGTTGGCCGGTGTCGAGTTCGAAAGGAGTTCGGTGGGTGGATGAGTGGGTGCGGTTGTTGTAGGAGAATTCTGCCAGCAGGAGCCAGTCAGCCCAGTCGTCCTGTCAATGGTTGATGAACACCCGGAGATAAGCTTCGATCTCTTGGTTGACCCACTCAGTCTGTCTGTCTGTCTGGGGGTGGTAGGGCGTTGAAGGGGTCAGTTTGATGCCTAGAAGGTCCGCGAGCTCTTTCGAGAAGCGGGAGACGATGGCGCTCCCTCTGTTGCTGAGGATCTCCTCTGGGAGCCTGTGGTGCCTCCAGATGTGCTCTAGAAAGAGCCATGCGATACCCTCCGAGTCTATGGTCGTCACGGTGGGACTGCGTGGATACGCTTGGACAGGTGGTCTACTACCACCAGGATGGCATTATAGCCTTTGGACTCTGGGAGCTCTCCCACCATATCTACTGAGATCACTTGCTAGCGACGGGTGGGGACCTTGTTTGGGGTGAGCTTCCCAACTTTTCGTGAGGGGAAAGATTTGAGGCAGTTGCAGGTGTCACACCCGCATACGTACTGCCCGACATACTCTGCCATCCGGGGCCACCAGTAGTCACGGGAGGCAAGTTCCAGGGTTTTCCACTGCCCCGGGTGTCCCGTCGCCTGCACATCATGGTGTAGCCGCACAAGATCATGGCGGAGTTAGGGGTCTTTAGGGACGTACACCCTCCCCCGGTACAGAACTAGTTCACCCTGCCTCTCCCATTCGTCTGACCTTAGCGTCCCTTCTCCCAGCTCTTGCATTGCCTTTACCACTTTCTCATCGTGGTCTTTTGCTTTGCATATCCACTCTAGAATTCCTACCTCTTCTCCTTCTTCATCCCTATTTGGACTACTGCTTCTCCCCATTCTAGCCAGTTAATCATCATCCCCGCTTCCCCTCATCCTCCTGCCCCTCTGGGCCTCGCCCTCCTTACCTCCTTTCGGACGTATCATAGGTTCTGCCTTATGACCTTCGGTACCGCTCCGCTTTTGTCATCCCTTTGTTCCCGTTCGGACGCCTTCGTTCCGATTCGGTCCCCCTTCGTTTCCTTGTGCTTTCGCCCCCTCCATTATATATATCGGCACTTGTACATACTCGTGGAGGCTCAGTCCGAAATCGACCTGAAATGCCCCCTAGAGACTTCCTGCTCGCCTACTGTGAAATTAAGGACCAAATGGACAAACAGCAATGGCACAGCGCTCCGCTTGAGTCACTGAGGCCAAGGTCCCTCCACGCTAAGTCTCCGATTCCACTCCGGAGTCATCTGAATCCACCCTTCTCTAACAGTGACACGTGACGTGAGCCTTGCGGTCCAGGTGTAAGTCCGTGTTTGTGACGCGTGACACCGTTTGTTGTCCCATTGTCACGCCCACACCTTTTTGGGAGCCAAGGTGTGGCTGTGCACTTAATTCAATTTTTTGGGAAAATGGATAGTCACTGCGTTTTGAGGTAAAATATCCAAGGTCAGATATTACCAGAATCCCCACAGAATCCTGGAAGTATCCGACACTGGATATTGAAGTATTCCACATCGAATATAACCAGTTACCCCCCATCATATTGCTCGGATATAACATGGATACGAGACAGCCCAAGAAGGGATATCGCTCACAAACACTCTTGGATAAACCCAGGATATCGCTGACCACAAATATATATCAATGTATTAATAAATTTCTGTAGTAAATACATCCAAATACAACATCGTCAGCTTTTCTAAAGCTCACAGCCAGCTAGAGACTTGGAATGGCACACAAGGGGAAGGTCAAGTGTGTTGAAAGTTGTGCTGCCGAAGATAAATTCGCCTGCTGCATCCATAGTAAATTGGGAAAGAATGTCCTGGATATGTCCTGGATGTCTATGACTTGGGAGCTGTTGAATCGGGCAAGGAGACCTTTTACCGTTCAAAGATATTGAAATCCTGGACATGCTCACGGGCTATGTTTCATATAGAGAAAAAAGGAAGGTGGAATGTGAGTATCAACAGTATATTGAGGTGAGGGGGACAAACCAAAGAAGGGGCATGTCAAGGCCCTGTGGGCCTTTGCCTCGGCACCATCCACTCCAAGTATCCCGTCACCAAACACCTATATGCAAGGCAGCCAAAGAAAATTGGTCACAAATAATTAGGCAAAGGCGAAGCGAAGGCTCGGAGGGGAATGAAACTAGCCCACCTCATTCGTAGTTCATGTCCTTTCCAACAGTCATTGAACCTTGCGGCTAGCATTGTTTGCATGACCTTGTTACATGTAAAGTGGAGGGACTTTGATATCTCAGAGCTGGCCACATCTCCGACTCCGGACTGACAATCCCTGATGAAAAGACCCGCCCAGAGGATCTTAAAGTCATCAGGGAGCTATAGGAGAGAGATGCTGCCTACAATGGTGATGCCAAAGTCCACTAGCCTGAAGAACTCAAGCAGGGGCATCAGGTTGGTGTGTACAAACTTGTGAAAATATCGATCCAAGAGACAGAGCAAGTACTAAACATTCGCCATTGCATCAGAGCCCAATTGACAGTTCAGCCGAGAGTATTGCTAGCGGCATGTACTAGCTAGTGCTTGGGAATGGGAGCAAGCACTTGTCGAACAAGTTCATCCTGTGACACTTAACAAACATGAGTAAATAAATAAAAGCATCTCAATGCTCAGTGCGTACCCAGCCGTTCTGTTTATGCTTGTTTATCTTGTCAGAACAGCTGGTGGAAAACATTTTCCCACGACAGCCGTATACTGTTATTTGTGCATATTGAATCGAACAAACAACACTCAACAAGAATATTATTGCGCAACTGATCTCACTGTCCGATATGATGAACGTCCACCAGTCCCCACTTCCTTTACCCTTTCAAGTGCCGAAGAGAGTGCATGTAGAGGCTGTGCTTAACTCCTTTGAAGCAAATGGTCTGATATTGTATGAATTTCTCGACGCTTGCCTTAGCGATGATCTGTGTCACAACCCCACAAATCTCCATAAAATCAAGGGGTCTCTCCCTACGCTTGTTGGTCTCATTATTGAAAGGGAAAGCCTCCAAAAGTGTCTCTAAATGCTCTACTCGCTGGATCCTACCCTGTTTCTTGCTTCAGTGCTCCTTTACACTCACCAACAACTCATGAATGAGCTCGATTGCCTAACAGACATAGCCTCTGGCTTCCATTTCTCAGCTTCATCAATGACACACAAGGAAGTTAAATTTCCGTCTGTTCAGTGGACAGTGAAGAAATTCTCCCATAAAGCTCCTACTTTGTGGCATTTTATTGGCTGTCTCCTTTCAGCGACATTTACCCCTGGGGAAATTGTTGAAATGGATAAATGGGAGGACATTGACAATTTGGAAAACGAAAATAATGACGACGATGATTGCTGGTTAGATTCTAGTGGCCTCCCACCTTCGTCTCAAAGGAGCTGTGTCAGGGCAACCACACCTGACCATACAACCCCAGAACCACCTTCCCTGACCTCCCCCCACTTCCCTCATCCTCCCATCTCCACACACCTTTCGTGTCAGAGTCGGGATTACTTGTCAGAGACTGGATTATTGTCGGGGTCGGAGATTGTGGCAGAGGTCTGTTGGAGCGCGCGTGCGCAGATATGCAGGCGGAAATATGCGGCACGTCCGGAAGCGCTGTTCAAGGTTAGCAGAGTGGGATCGCGGCCTCAGCGACTCAGGTGGAGCACTGTGCCCTGAGCTTGACGTTTGGGGGAGATCCCATATTTACGGATTGACACTCACAGCGGACTTCAAACAAGACTTGCGGGCAGAGCGGACCTATAGGAGGAGCGTGGACTCCGCGAGCACGGACTCAGAGGGGGGGAAGCCCCCTTTGCAGAAGGAGGGACTCAGACCAGACAGGGGGGTACTCTAGTTGATTTCAGACTGAGGTCCCCAAAAGTATTTACAAGGTATATAAATAGGCAAGAGGGAATATAGAAAGGCCGGTCAGTCCGGCGCGGTCCGGCGCAGAGATAAGCGGGGATTGTCAAACTAAATAAGGACAAGAGCCCGGGAACTGGAAACGAGGAACAGATCAATAAACAATAAGTGGCAAGGGTTATTGATGAATAACTGAATGAGATCAATAACCTAGTGCCAATAAAGAGGGGATCAAATGCCGATATTGGCAGGGAAGCAAACAATAAATGGCACTCGGCAAGGAATGAATGATAAGCTGCCAAGTGACAAATGGCCAGAGGAAAAGCGGAGGTCAGCGCGCGGCACCAATACAAGTCCGCAAATCAGGATGCGGGGTCAGTGTGATGCCGACACAAGTCCACAAAGGGATGCGGGAATCAGCATGGTGCTGATGAGTCCGCAACAGAGGGTGGTCTGTCAGTGCTGTCACAAAAGGACAGCATGATGGCCAGCAAGATACGGAGGGGAGTGTTGACCTGACCAGAGGTGTCAAGGACAACCAGAAATGGACAGAGGTTGCAGAGGGTGCGGAAGCGGTGCATGGTCAATAGAACAGACATCGGGTTGGGGCTGGTAAGGATGGGTTCGGGTCGGCGGAATCGCCTGTCGGCATTGATTCGCCACTGACGGAGCCCTGGGATTTGTCAGTCATGACATTTCGCAACTACAGCCCGCACGCGAACCCGCAGGAAAAATCACGTGGGTCAAGGTGAGCAACTCGCCTTAACCCATGTGACACCTTTTCCACATCGTGGGAACATGCTCGGCTCCTACCCTTAGTCACGTTACAAACTGTATAGTACATTTCCCTTTTATAGTAGCCAAGCAGGGAATAGGGAAACTTACCCTTCTTCTCAACTCAATCCCCGCTTAGGCAAGTTGTAGCTACCTTCCATAATACATGACAACTCAATCCCCGCTTAGTGAGTTTGAGGAGCTTGGGGTAGGATCCAGCACTTGGCTGCCTGGGACACCGCAAGTGTCCAGTTCTGAGGTAGGGCCGCCCCCGGACAGAGGCCGGGCCCTGACAAGCCAATCCCATAGTGAGAAGCGGCAGTAAGGATTACAGTCTTATCTTACACCAAGTGCACTGAGTCCAGTTGCTTGCTGAGAGCCAAGGACAGTAAGTGGTGTTATGACTACTAGAATCCTTCCGCCATTATACAGCAATGGCAGTATATCAAGTTTTGCCAGAGCTGTCAAGAGCAAATCCCTCCGATGGATCTGGGCAACGACTGCTCTCAATTAGAGTCTTCCCAAAGACGTCAGCGACATTTCTCCTTATTGTATCTTCCGTTGGCTCAGCATATGGGTGCGGATAGGATAGGGATGGAGTCGGTGGCCATGCCGTTCGCGAGTTTACATCGAAGTAGGTGTAAATAGTGATATACATTGAACCGACGTCGGTATAGTCACATGTAGCGCTTACATCATCCCGGATGCAATGTTTTCCACCAGTCGTTCCCCTGGAACGACTGGGTCCGAGTCTGGTGCGTAAGTGCATGTGTTGTTGACCCAGAAATAATATGCATTTTCAAAATGCAGCACTGGATATGTCCAGGATTTTGCTCAGGCATGTCGAATATTTTGCGGATTTCGCCAGCACGTGAAATCCGGGAAGTATCTGACCATGGATATTCCTGTAGGAATTTTGGGCTAAGCGACCCAACTCGGATTTAACATGGATACTGCCAAAGTCTCATATCCGAGCTCGGATATCACTTTGGATATTTTGCCCCAAAACGCAGTGAGTATGGCGGGTCAGCCACACTGCCACGTTTAAACCTGGCAACACTTACACCTGATTTGAATAAGTGCACGCAATGATAGGATCTCCGAGTAATGAATGTCAAGACTGCATTACTAATTCAGTAACTGTGCGGTCCTCTCTGATGTAAAGCGATGCATGCAAGCCGAGTTGAGCTCTCTGCATCTCTTCGTTGATTATCACCCTAGCCCTTTGGAAACATTCAAGTAATCAACATGAAGTCTTTTTCTGCGGATCCGTGGATGCGCAAGCCAAAAATAATACTGGGACTCGATATTGGCACGACGTTCTCTGGAGTGTCATTTGCATACCTCTTTCCAGAGTATGTTTTCATCTTCGTATTCATGGCGCATTCCTCACCTTGTAGGTGTGGAGAGGTCCCCAGGCAGTCATGAGAGTGAATGCATGGCCCGGGCAGGAAGCCCACTCAGGTGACAGTAAGATCCCGACTCAGATATGGTATGACAAGAATAAGAAAGTAAGTGGGCTTTTCCACTGCATGAATGGTATCTATGTGGTCCTGATTGCTCTGCTGCCCTTTCCTCTGCGATCAGGCCACCGCGTTTGGCGCCGAGGCGTTAAGCGCCGAGACACAAGATGAAGCAGAGGACAGCGGTTGGAGTCTTGCAAGGCATTTCAAACTCCATCTACACCCCAAAGCGATGAAGGAGATGCATAATTTGACCCTCGATCGTGTGTACTACTCGTTAACTTTGTCGCCTGTAGTTGTCGAGTTGACCATCTTTGGGACAGCGCTGCCTGAAGGCGTTCCCCTCTCAACCATATATAGAGACTTCTTTGGATATCTCATTAAGCACACTCAAGATGCGTTCGAAGACTGTGTCCTCGATGGAGCTCGCGTGTGGGAGATGCTTTTCCCCTCTGCTGATGTTGTCATTGCCCACCCGAATGGATGGGGCTTGAGGGAACAAGAATTTATGCGCGAAGCTGCAGTGGCAGCTAATATCGTCCCCCAGTCCCAGCCGCGTACCCGAATCTTCTTTGTCACTGAAGGAGAAGCTTCTGTCCATTACTGCATGTTTTACGCCAACATAGCACCACAACTCAAGGTGAATGCTCTTTTGGCATGATTGTCATAGCTGGAACCTGCCATGTCATCTATATTAGGAAAACGTGAAGTTCATCGTCTGTGATGCTGGTGGGTGCCAGAATCGTTCCATTGAATGATTTTGTCAAGTTGAACTTTGTGATAGGTGGATCAACAGTCGATACAACCACCTACTCAGTCTCCCAAGTTCATCCCCGGCTTCAGCTCCACGAAGTGAAACCCTCGGCTTGTATTCTGGCAGGTGGTGTATTTGTAAACATTGCTGCAGAAGAATACTTCCACCGCGTATTTTCAAACCCCGAGGCAAATATTCTACCGGATGAAACTAGAGACTTGGTCAGAAATGCCGTGGATGCTTTTGAAATGACCGTCAAAAAAGCCTTCAATGACATAACAAGTAAAGGGAGCCTGAACCTTGGGACAAGTCGATACAATAATCCAGCTGTTGGTGTGAAGCGTGGGCGGATGACGCTGGACGGGTGATTCATTTCACCTTTGCATACACTACTATAGCTGACAAATGGTCCGAAGGACGACCACCGGGACTTTCTTCCAACCGGTCGTGAACCAGATTGTTGACTCTTTAAAGGAGCAAATGTCTGGTGTTAACTGCAAGCATATTTTGGTTGTCGGAGGCTTTGGAGAAAACAGGTTTCTAAGGGAAACACTTAAGAAAACGTTCGGGAGCAGAGACTGCCAAGTAGTCACTGCAAATGACTCAACGTGGGTTTGGATCTATCCAATATATGCAACTCATCACAGTAATCACCCCTGCTCGCAGATCTAAAGCAGTATCGGATGGTGTGGTTATTTTCCATGCCGTATCTCTAGTCACTGCCCGGGCTTGCCGCTTCGACTACGGGATATCCAAAAGTGTACTGTACAATCCAGAGGACCCGCAGCACAGTAAGCGAACACCCCACTATTCAAATGATGGGAAGGAGTGGACACACTCTGTGTGGCAACCCCTTGTCAGGCGTGTGAGTCCGAAAATCACAATGAATATAGCATATGTACCACTAATTCATTTTAGGGGGACGTCTACCAGTCAAATGACGGTGTTGAGAGGCCTTACTACCGTACATACGAAGTTATTTCTCCAAATCTTACTCATTTCACAGTGGCGGTATTTGCTTACACCCTACTAAATGGGCAAGAAGAGCCTTACTACGTAAAGGATGCTGACGGTAAACCCCAGATGATATTCCATACTCATCATTGACCAAATTTCTGTTATTCTTCTCAGGAAATCCCGCACCGGGAATGGAGAGAGTTTGTACCATCTCGGCAGATCTAAGCCGGTTATCTGGAGCCCTTAAAGAGCGTCAGGGAGTCAAGGGAAAATATTGGGAGGTGAAATATAATATCGGCATCAAATTTGGTGGAACAGAGCTTCAAGCGTATCTTACATGGACCGAAAATGTGAGGGTGAACACTCCGAATGGTTTAACGTTTTATTATTGACCACTTTCCAAACGCAGGGAAAGAAGTGCATGAGCTCGGCTCAAATTATCCCGAGCTCGCTGATGTAAACAAGCTTTTGGAAACTGGTGTTCATAGGATTTTATGTAATTGTCTCACTGTTTGGTTCCATCATTTTATCTCGGGTGATAGGAAGTCATCCTCGCTATGAGAAGATCACGCAGCTGGAATGCTCCGTGCTACTAGGGCTCTCTAACTCTAATTGAAGGGTTTATTGGTGCTTGTGGACTTGAAGACTGGAGCGGTGTCAGACTCGGACCCAGTCGTTCCAACGGAACAACTGGTGGAAAACATTGCATCCGGAATGATGTAAGCGCTACATGTGACTATACCGACGTCGGTACAATGTATAACTGGTGGATGCCGCCTGTCGCGGCAAGGGCCCACCTTTCGATGTTTGGTTTTGGGTTTATGCCTTCTGTCTTCAGTACATTCTTCACAATTGTGTTTTCCATGCAGAAGTTGTACGGAGACGACTGGGTGTTAGCTAACGGAGTTATAAGGAAGTGAATTATATTGTCATTGTCATAATGGGAAAAGAGGACCCTGTGCACAGCGTGGGGCCTAAATTTACGGGACCCGCTATGGAGTAGCTGGAATTATTATTTACACCTACTTCGATGTAAACTCATGAACGCTGACTCCATCCCTATCCCATATGCTGAGCCAACGGAAGATACAATAAGGAGAAATGTCGCTGATGTCTTTGGGAAGATTCTTTGTGGTTTCCAATTGGGAGCAGTCATTGCCCAGATCCATCCGAGGGATTTGCTCTTGACATCTGGGACTGGCTCTGGCAAAACTTTGATATACTGGGTGCCATCAACGCTGAATAATGGTGGAAAGATTCTAGTAGTCATAACACCACTCACTGTCCTTGGCTCTCAGCAAACAACTGGACTCAGCACACTGTCAGGGCACGCTGCCCTGCACTGTGCCGCACCGCCCCTTTCCTCTGTTGAAATTGTATCCGGTGCAACTACTGGACTTATCCGGAGCTCCAATTCAAATAGCTTCAAATCCAGGTCATGTGGCAAGGACATAAAATCATGGACAAGCCTGGTATTGAACCCAGGACCTCTAGCATGCATCCATACACTACTTGCCCTTGAGCCATGCCAGTATAGGGTGTTAAACTCTATATATTATATTCTCCAACATCCTCTCCCCCTCCTCTCTCTCTCATCCTCCTGTCTTTCTTCCCTTCTTTCCTTCTTTCTCCATATGGACAACCTTTTCCTTTACACCTGTAGCATGGATGCATCCAATGTTAGTGTAAGGCCAGTTGGGGTGCTGGCCTGGGTTGACTCCTCAGTCCTCAGTAGTTGAGATCTAGGCTGTATGGAGCTTATGATTTGACTTCGGGTTGAGGGTAAAGAGTGAAGAACCCTTTACCCGAGCCTGAGCCATACATATGTAAATACAGTTGTTTACATTGTATACAAAGAATAAAGAACAAATAAAGAAAGCGCGATGCACATGAGATCCTAGTGTCAGGGACAGCTCCGAAAGCGGCGAGGTCCCGGCATGCGGGACTCGGTGGGACGAATAGCGGCTGTGCGTAGCGGCAATCCTGTTGCGGGGTGAGCGTCCCCGACCACTTAGTCTGAAGTGGGAATGTGAGAAGAAGGCTACTTCTTCGGTTCCCACTCCAGCTGTTATTATATACATGTGGGATTTGTCAGAGACCAGATTCGAGACGAAGGAATGTCTCCGTAGTGGAGGGCTTCGGCCTCAGCGACTTCTGCCAAGAGCGCTGTGCCTAGTGACACGTCCGTGCCCTAACTTACTGACTGGCAATTAGAACCTAGGGGGGTAACTCTAGTTGATTTTACTACTGGGGTGTAACCTATGTACAAGTGGGATATATATATGGTTACAGCGGAGACGGGTCCGCAATTGGCGGAGCCGAACGGAGTGGAGCTAACAGGGTTTAACATTAGCTGACTGAATATTACCGACAAGTCGGTTCGCGGGGTTAGCGGAAAGGCAGGCGATAACCCAGAAACGGAAAGGAGGGATAGGCCCAAAGGTGGGCTCTGCAGTGCAGGCGAGTGTATTGCCCAGCGGAGGCGGGGGTGCGCTAGCGGACGTCAGAGCTGTCCGGAAGTCTTCGGGGCTCCGTACTTAGGGAGGCGTAGGTAATAAATTGAAATGAGGGGGTGGTGACCATCGAGGGGTGCTGAGAGGATTGCGGAATAATGGGGGCTCCAAGGTTAGTGAGGGAGGAGCGGAGTTGGAACGGAGGGATCGGAGGGACCGGAAGTTGATGGCCAGGGATGGATATGACATACATGCGGCTTGAGTCACATGACGAGTGCCACATCACCTTCAGAGACAGCCGCAGGCATCCAGGTGTCCCCGTGGGGGATCCCGAGAGCGTCCGCTGCATGCGTGCATGCTGGGCACAGCGGGAAGCCATCCGGGGTGTGTGGGCCGGATGGGTCAATAGTACATTGATACAAAGGAAGGTGGTCCATGTAGATAGAAGGAAATAAACAAGAAAAGGAAGATGAGAGGAATGAGATAAAGAAAGGAGAAGAAAGAGAGAAAGGAAAGGGGAGGAGAGGGAGGAAGGAGGAGGGAGAGGGTTGGACAGCGGGGAGCGGGTGTGGTGTGGCTGGGTGGGTCCGGGTGGACCCGGGTCAGGCAGGTGTGCCCTGACACCCGCTATAAGAATGGATCGAGGAATGGGGATTTCCCCCCATCCCCGTAACAATTGATCTCAACATCCACGTTTGTTCCAAACAGGATCTGTGACCTTGTTCCTTTCATCCCCATTTGAAGGACAACTGGGTTCTCCAATTGGAGAATTGGGATGTGGACCATGCGGACAAAGTCCAGTGATATAGTGTCCATTTCAGCTCCACTGTTGAATAACGCATCGGCTTTTATGCCTGCTATTTTTATGTGAGCCGTCAGCGGTCTCTTTGTTGAGAGTGGTCTGTTTGCAGGGTATTTTCCTGCATCTTTCGAGATGCGGAATTTTGCATCAAACAAGGGGGTCTGGGTTTCAATGGACTTTTGGTCCTTCTTCCCTTTTTCCTTGTTTTCCTTGGGTACTTTGGTGTATTTCCCCAAGGCGTCTTTTCTTGGTGCTTCCACCAAGGCTTCGGTGACTTTCTTGTCTGCTGTGTTTTCTAACTGGCATGCTACAGCCAGTTTGATCTTATAATTTATGTTGTCGTAATCGATGACTGACATTGGGCCCATTCTTATGGTCCCAACGTTGACTTCCTCACCCTCTGAGTTGGGTGAGTATTGAGGTCCTTTGTATGGGTCCTCTACTTCGAAGCTTGATGCTCCGGAGTTACCAGAGTTGTTCTCTGGTTTTTCGTCTGATGGGTCTTCCGACTCTTCTTCTGATGCGTTCGTGATCTCCATGGCAGCTATGCACCTTGGTTTTTCGTCGCTCGTTGCATTGTGTCTTGGGCAATCTTTCATTTGCCCTATTTTTCCGCATTTGCCGCAAATTGGAACTGACTTTTGGTCAGTTTTCCTCGAGTTTTTCGAGGATGTATCCTCTTTCCATCTGGATTTCGGCTCTTCAGCCTTCTTTCCTGATGGGAGAGCTCTACCGCAGCTCATGGTTGCCGTGGTAGTTGTTTGGGTATAATATCCCGATTTGTAGGCTGAAGACATCTTCAGCCCATCAATTATCTCATATACACGAGATATTGCTTTTAACATCTCCTCATTTGAGGAGAAGTCTGCTCTGATTCTGTCATGAGCGATCATTTCCCTCTTCCATTCAAGGGGAATGTAGTTTAAGAACCTGGCATTGAAGGACGCCTGGTCTGGCAGCGTCACCATCTGGGACGCTGCTTTAGACAGTTCTAAGTAGAACTGTTTTAGGCCTTTTCCGCTTCGTATTTAACATTGCGGTACTTTTTTGTTGCATTCAACGCAGCAGAGGCTTTAATGAAGGTTCTCATCAATATGTTGAGAACTTCGAGGAACATGCCCTCGTCTCCTCTGAGGAGAGTTTCGTCTCGGAGTCTTATTCCGAGGTTGAACGCAGGTCCCCCCAATCCGCGAATCAAGCAGTCCAGATGGACTTTGTCGAATTGGGGACCTTTGCATCCTCACGAGGCGAGGAATCCCAGTAGTTCTGTGAACCACTGCCAGAATGATTCCATGTCGTTCTCTCCTGACCATTTCTTGTCAGGAAAAGCCGGCCCATTTTTTAGAGCTTCAGGCTTCACTCCCTCTGGGTAGGGAGTGAGTATTCTCATTGCAGGGTCGCTATCCAATGGGGATCTCTCCTTTGGGGGGGTTTTCGCTGGGGGGAATCTTCCTCACAGCGTTTCTTTGGTTTCAGGTGAATTCGCCTGAAGTTGTATTTGGATTCTCTCATTGTTTTGAGAGAGTGTGGTCAAGTTACCTCTCTGTTTGAGAGGTTCATCGAAGGTGGACATTTGGCCGAACCTTTGGTACGTGCCGATTCTCCTCCTAATTTCTGAATGATGCCTTCTTTCGGCATTGTCTTCTCCTATCCTTGGGAGAAGGATCTCCTTAGCGTCTCTGCCAAGTTGCTGATGATACTCCAGTGTGCTTTCACTGGTGGTTCTTTTTGTGAATTTTTCATGAGTTCTGTTTTTGTCCTGGCCTGTGGCCCAGGGGTATTTTTTTTGTTTCCTCACTATTTTGTGAGAAGTTTATCTCCTTCAGCAAGTCCATCTGCTCGCTGATTTTTTCAGTCAACACATTGATTGTGTTGGCCATTCTTTCTAGAGTTATCTCTAGACGAGCCATGCTATTGTGGTTCGTTTCCTCAATCTTTTTTTGGATCGAGTTTATCGTGTTTATTATGTGCGATTCCTGGTTTTCCAGGAGGAAGTTTGGTTGGGCGAGCGGTGACTCTCCCCAGTTGGCATTGCCACTTCTGGGGGTTCCAGAAGGGGTTCTTGGAGTGAACACTCCATGCTCGCTTTGTTTAGGCAAGGCTGTTGTGGAGGGTGCTTCCCTTTCATAGAGGGGTCTGTTCACTGGTTTTTCCTTACTTTTCCATAAGGCTTCCTCAGCGAACTCCCTCATTTCAGTTTGCCTCCTCTTCATTATCTCGGAGACTGTCATATCCATCCCCGGGCATCGACTTCCGGTCTCTCCGATCCCTCCATTCTAACTCCGCTCCCCCCTCACCAACCTCGGAGCCCCCGTATTCCGCAAACCTCTCAGTACCCCTCGATGGTCACCACCCCCTCATTTCAATTTATTACCTACACCTCCCTAAGTACGGAGCCCCGAAGACTTCCGGACAGCTCCGATGTCCGCTAGCGCACTCCCGCCTCTGCTGGGCAATACACTCGCCTGCCCTGCAGAGCCCACCTTCGGGCCTATCCCTCCTTTCCGTTTCCGGGTTATCGCCTGCCTTTCCGCTAACCCCGCGACCCGACTCGTCGGTAATATTCAGTCGGCTAATGTTTAAACCCCGTTAGCTCCGCTCCGTTCGGCTCTGCCAATTGCGGACCCGTCTTCGCTGTAACCATATATATATCCCACTTGTACATAGGTTACACCCCAGTAATAAAATCAACTAGAGTTACCCCCCTTCGGTTCTGATTGCCAGTCAGTAAGTTAGGGCACGGACGTGTCACTAGGCACAGTGCTCTTGGCAGAAGTCGCTGAGGCCGAAGCCCTCCATCACGGAGACTCTCCCTCGTCTCGAATCTGGTCTCTGACAGAGACCTCCTCCGAGGTTGGCAACCTTGCCTTGTCTGGCATGGCATGGGGTAGTGTAAACAGCGGAGGTTCTTTTGGAGCTTCTGTGCTCTGGGAGATCCTGCTCCCAGGGTGTTTTTTCACGCCTTCTTGGGCTTCCAGCCTGAGAAGAAGTTGGTCTTCATTTTCCATCCTCCATTCGGATGGAACCTGGAACAAGTCCAGTAGTTTTTCGGATAGCCAACACGGAGGCT